GCATCTCCGAGCGGAGAAGCTGCCAGCATGGGTCGAGGGAAAATGGGCATGTTGAATGACCTCTTGAATGGAAAACCATCGGAAGAAAGTGGAACGATGGGAAGAGGCAAAATTGGTATGCTAAACGACTTATTGCATGGATCCGCTCCCCGAGCCCCGCCTCAATAAAAGCGAGCCGTGAGACGAAAGGGATGGCGCAGTGCATTCACGGAAAAGATGTTTGAAAGAGAGAAGTGCACGCAGCATACGCATGCGGTGACGTATACGACCGCTGCAGCGAGATCATGAGAACTAGGTCAACGCGACTGGAGGAAAATCGAAAGCTTCTGAAACAAGGAAACATCTGAAATGGAATGCATCCTTCACAACGACCCCTTCCCTAGGCATGGCGCAAACCGTCCTCATAATCTTAGTATTCWATTATTGTTGAGTGAACAGATTCGACTTCTATCATTCGCTCATAAATCATTTAGTCAAAAGTATTTTTTATTTCGAACCGCATGCTAGATTCTTTGCGCAATGAACGCAGGTGCTGCAGGTATAGTCCTTCAATGATTATTATTCTAGATAGGATACTATTATCTTCAGAGTAATTRCGASTTACATCTTGCTGTTCCGCTCGACYCTCCGGGAAGGGAAACTATTATTGTGTTTTGTTCGTGTTTTGGTACTTCTTGCCACAAGAAGTAATGAGGAGGGCACCTTATAGGTTGCTACCCTGACCATCTCCTGTCCGGAGCCAAATTTTTGGTTGACTGTGGCAATCCAATGTTGACAAAAACTGATAGATCCGCGGGTGCAGAAGAGCTTACTAATACAGAAATTACAGTGCCGTAATTCAATTTGTAACGGTGAAGTTCAGAGTACGTATCGTACGTTCTGGTACGTACATGCAATGATAGTTTCAAAGAAAAGTACGAGTACGCTTGTACTATTGCTACCGCATCAGGTTTTTACCGATTCATACTGAAAATTTCTACTTCTACTAGAAGCACGAGAAAATGAAAAAAAGAAAAATTGGTGCACCTTGCGGGTTACGTACGTACCCGAGAGCTGTCAGTACAATAGTAAATTGAACGTTGTAAWCAGTAGTAAAGTTGCTCCTGTCACGCATTTTCAGCAAGAGCCAATCAAAACAGTAGCTTTATTTCATGAGGCGAATAGAAGAATAAGATAGAAGAATTGAGACATACGACGTGTCCTCCGATCGTTGGATATGTTTTTTCCCTCTGATTGCCATCGTCTGGGATTGGGGGTGTTAAAAATGAAGGCGACGAACGTACAAACTTCCCGGGGACCATCGGTAGTTGAAGAAATAGCCGTGTGTGGTATTTTCATTCCCTTTGTCGTTGCCCTTTGTCGTTGTTACGTTGGAGTACTACCAGTACGTACCGTACGTACTGAACTCGTACGATTTCAAGGAATTTTTTGCAAGAATCATCGTCATCGTCGTTGCAACAGAAGTTCGAAAAACTACGATGGTAATGTTCTACGGTATGTTCTATGSTCACGTTCTTTTTCTTTCTCTGTAGTAACGGTAATTTGGGAACGACGAAAACGAATAGGAGGACACCTCTTGTGAAGATTCGTTCTTTCCTAGGGATTCATTATCTCTCAGAGAGCCGGCTGCGACACACGCAACCTAAGGTCACGATCCTTTGCAATGCAACACAGGATTCAAATGTATTAATRCAAGATAATAAAAATACCATAGAAGCTGGGCAACGCGCGCACGGTACCAAGCGACAACATTGCAATGGCGAGAGTGACCATGGCAACCGCATGTGATTCTTGCAAGAATCTACACTCCTTTCCGGGCTCGTGTCTGGGACCAACCGCTAGCAAGAGGCGGCGGAGACGATTGCTCTCGGAAACAGCAGCGAARCAATCGAATGCAAAGGGGAAKGGARACCATCGCCTGTCCAGAATTATTGTGGGGTCGATTCTTCTTCTGTCTTGCCAGCAGCAACCTAACAGTGCGTCCGCCCTATTCCTCYTGCCACTGCCGGGGCGTTCCCTCGTCTCATCCCTGCTATCGAGAAGCCAGAACAGTAACCACAACCGCAAACGAATGCTGCAAATATCCGAAGATTATCAGAACGATGCCGATGCCGCTGATACAAGCGAAACAATCAATGCCTATTTGAACAAAACGGTTGGTAGCCCAACAACTACGATACAGATACAAACGCCATCCTCGGCATCGTCGCCACCCTCCACCTCRAGAGAGRATGAATCATCWTTGGGSMYTGAAGCAAAAACGGATTGGAGCGGGACCTCCACACAGCTAGTCAATCCTCCCGTGGGYACCATCACCGTAAGGAAGAAGCCGGCGACCAGCGAGAGAGACCGTCTCATTTCGGAGGCGGCGAAACTGAGGCAGTCCATCGTTCAGCAGCAAAACGAATTGATCACACTCGAACGACGGATCGAGTGCTGCACGGCCGACGGGAAAGAGTCCCCGRTKACGAGCAACAGCAACATTGTGATTAGCGGAATTTCCTATTCGCTGTACTCGTCGGCGTCCATAGCGACCAACCTCGCCTCCGGACTCGTCCGGACCTTCCAGGCATCTTCGAGGGTGTTTCTCCGCAAGATCGATCGGGTCCAGAAGCGGGTCGGTCCGAACAATCAGCAGTGGGAGGGCCGGGTCGGTGCCTACCTCTTTTACGAATTCCTGTCGGGGCTGCGGATCGCCTCCAAGCTGGCGAAAGAGCCCCGGCAGATCCAGCAACTGGTCTCGGATCCGCGGACGCCGACGCTCGTGCCGCACGCCCCGGCGATCCTGGCGCGGCTGGATCGGTTGGAGACCCACGTGAGGCCCATCATCGAGTCGGTGCTGAACGACCGGCAGCACCTGGCCAGCATCGAGCCGTACCTCGACGAAATCCTGGAGCGCTTTGACGACATCGAGCCGCACCTGCCGTGGATTCTGGACAACATCGACGCACTGGCGCCGTACACGGGGCTCCTCCTGAAACACATAGACGCGCTCCTGTTGTTTGCACAGGGCGACGAGTGGGAAGAGAGCAATTCGAATTCGTCGTATTCCCTCGCCAACCAGCTCTTGCCCTACCTCGAGTACTATGTTTCGAAGCTCGACGTCATTGGCCCCCACCTCGTCTTGTTGAGACCGCACGTTCCCCTCCTGCTCAAGCACAACCGCATCGCMAAGGTYAGTCCGCACATCGAAAAGCTTTTTGCGCGGGGCTACGGGACCCGGCTGGCCGCCAGCGCCAACATGGACGTTTTGCTGTTTTGGTTCGGGTGGACGCTTCGGATCCCCTTTTTGCCCGGAATCTTTTTTGCGCTCCCGTGGTCGCCGACCATTGTGGACTTTCTGGCAAACCGGTTGCCGAAAAAGTTTGCACGAAAGGGCAAGGCCTACTGCCGCAATCTGGAGTGTGCGATCGACGACGACTACGGTGGGGCCTGGAACCAGCTCGAAAAAGAATGAACCGACAGAGACCCACAAACCACACGCTAGACACAATGGACTATYAACACTATAATACTACTATTGCCTTGATGAATTTTATCACAGACCGGGCGATTGGTCAACTCGAAACAGAGCCAAGCCACACTCGTTTTTGTTACCTTCTATTTTGAATGGTCTAAAGATTTTGCCAGAGAGCWTTGATAGACATGAATTGCTTGGTGCAAATCACATGACTTCTTCAGCATGSGATGTGTTTGTTTCTATGAATAGTATATCGAGCAGTAACTGCAACCTCCATGGTTGACGATATCCACTTCGTTGGTACTCACTGTATGACAAAGTGAAGTAATACCTCTTGGTTYYYATCACCCCAGCTTCATTGAGTTGACCTGTCAACGSTTTCGTTGGTGCATTCCTAGGACGTGTCTGTTTGGGTCAAGGCAAGGCACAAAGATTGAACGGCATGTTTGGTTKTTCTCTTGGTGATCTSGGAGGAGGCAACTAACGAACACCGAACAAAGAAAAGCAGGCACGCACTCTCSGAGACCACGGGAACGRTCCGATGCYKTACGGAGCGGCGGCGTCCTGCCGTCGTTTGGGTGGTGGCCTGCCCGCTCGCCGTGCGTYCCGGAGCACGGGCCGGGCCCTCCCCGGTTTGCCTTGCCTCAGAGGTCCCCCGGCACCGGCCGCTCGCCCCCGAGGGCCTGGATCCCGATGGTCGGGCCGGGCGAAAGGTTGTAGATCTCGTGGTACCAAAGGTTGGGCACCAGGAGGAGCTCCCCCGGTTCCTGGATGCACTTGTGGGTCGAGAGCTCCCGRTAGAACCCCGGGTGCGTCTTGCCGCCTTCSCCGCAAGACAAAAGCCGGTCGATCGGGTCCGGGTGGGAGAGGTACCACTTCTTTCGGCCCTCCGTCAGAAAGAACAGGGCCGGCCCGTGCTTGTGCATCCCGATGCCGAAACCCTCGTTGGCCATGCACAGGGTGAACTTGATGCTGCTCCCGCTCCCGTCGTCTTTGTTCCCGCCGCCATCGCTGTCTTTGTTGCCGGAAGCATTCGCGTTGGCCTCGTCCAGGACGAGGTGCCACAGCGCGTTGGGAAAGATCCTTTGGCGTGGCTCTGGCGCATCGCCAGAATTGGTGTGGTGGTGATCGCCGTCGCCGCCGCCGCCGGGAGTGGCACCGGCGGGACTGCGGCTCCCGCCGTGGTCCAACCAGAGGCCCAGGACGTCCCCCGCCCGAAACTCCGGTGGCAGCTCGTGGATCGGGTTGAAGACAATGGTGGGGTCCGGGTCCGGCGTTGGTCCGTCCCCGCTGCCGTTGCTTTTGCCCTTKTCCCCCGCAAGGCCGCGGAGGGCCTCTTCCACCACCCCSACGCCCCCCAGGAGGGAGGCCCGRGAGTTGTGGAAGCCGTTCTCCACCAGGGTTTCCCGGTTGCCCGTCCGGACGACCGTCTCGGCCCCCTTGTCGAGCAGGGTGGCSCGGAGGCGCTCCCGGAAGGACACCAGGTCCCTCCCGAGGGGCCCGGGCTCCGCTYCCGGCCCGGTTCGGAACCCCCGGACCACGACCGGCCGCGTCCCAAAGCCACGGAGGGCCTCGCATCCGCCGTYGTTGTTGGTGCCTCCGTTGCTCTTGCTCGCCTTCCGGAGGTGCTGGACCACCTCCGCGTAGTGGACCCGCGGCACGTTGTCGAATTCCAGGAGGCCCGGGTCGCGCTCCAGCTGCCGCACCGTTGCCGGGGACAAACCGGGGGCGGTGGATGGTTTCCCCTCCCCGGAAGRTCCGTTGCGATCGCTCTGGGGTTCCCCGCACCCCCTTCCCCGGCTGGCGTGCCTCGGGACGACGAGTTCCCCGTCGGGGGAGCTCACGAGCCTCGAAACGGCGACTGTCCTTCCGCCGGTGGCAGTGGTGGGTTCTTCTGCTGCCTGTTCTTCTGCTTGCTGTCGCTCTTGCTGGTCGAGGAGCCACAACCGGTAGGCCTCTTCCTCGGTGATGTATTCGACGTTGCGGTCGTCGGTGTCGTCCTCGGCGGATTCGTCGTCGACCACCGTGATCGCTGCCACGCTCGGATTCCGGAGAAAGGTTGTGGCGGTACCGTCCGAGGGTTGGTTTTGTTCGTTCTCTCCCCCGACCGACGGCGACCGGGACGCAATGTACTCCTCCAGCTTTTGCAAAACGTCGTCGTCCGAGGGRAACCCCGGTCCTTTCCCCCCGCAATCCCAGCCGTCGCCTGGGTTGAGGCAAAAGAGAAGGCTCCCCCCTCGCGCCGGCGCCGGCGGTTCGTGTGCTCCGGGGGGTTCGTCGAAGCCGCCTTCTTTTTCGAGCACCGTGACCAGCGGCACCCCACCGCYGCTTCTGCGCTCGCGSTCGCGTTCCCCGTTCCGGAGGAGGACCCCCGCCAGGCATTCTTCCAGGAAGAAATCTCCCAGGCGCGTGTCCACCCCCGTCAGTCGAAAGAGGGTCGGCGAGCCGAACGAAGACCCAKATCCTTCGCTGTTGACGTCGTCGGTGTTCATGGCGTCGTTCGGTGGTGCTGGTTCTGTTCTTCCACCATACCGATCGGGAGTGATGGAGTTTTTGAGACAGAATGTTTTGGTTCCGGTGATGGATTGGTGAGATTGGTCTGATGAATTTTTTTGAAGTTTTGTTTTGGTTTTGGCTTTGGTTTTGATTTTTGGAGAGATGATTGGTGACGGGTTTTTGTTCTCGTACCTTTCTAGTCCATTTCTTTAGGTATGAACATACTTCTGTTGGTACGGTACGTAGTACGTACGGTACGGTGTGACTTGTACCGTGCGTTAGGGTTTAGCGTACGTATGATTGTTCGTGTAGGAATGTACGGTAGACTTGTCCGGAAGCGAAAAACACGACCACTATCTTTTATGTAGACGCTCTGCACACGATTCGACCGGCCCGCCGCAGGCAATAGTATTAGGATAGTAGCAAACCATACGATGCTTCCCGTACCGTAGGCACGAGTACGGGATCCACATCGCTTTCTTCACCGGTTGATGTGATGTTCCATGGAATTACGTGTTCGACACCCGGGAACGTATCGTGACATCTTCTGGCAGTCGGGAAGAACGCTTCCGGCTTAAATTCTTCCACGGAATGCAGAGTACAGAAGAGCAACAAGAACAAARAAGAAACGAGGTGTCGCGGTATTTTAACACGAACACTCCGCAAGACACGGCAACAACAAAACTGTTTCAACACCAGAAGGCACTACCKGACGAACACTGCGTTTCAAGGAACCCCTGCTTCGACACGGGGTGGTGGTGTTCCCGTCGACCCATAAACGCAACAGTTCAATAAATACCGTGCTGCGAGGAAAATGTTTCTCTCTGGGGCACCCAATTCCAATCGAACACCGTGACTGCAACAACCCATCGTCTCACTAGAACGAACRAACACAAACGAACAGTTCAGTTTGCAAGAGAACATATCAGAACGATCGAGCCAGGGCCCCATCGCCACCGAACGGGAAGGACCATGGGGCCGGCTGCTACCACCAGCACCAGCACCTCRGGCAGCACCAGCCTMAGCGCCGGCACTCCGGCCACGGCTCTCTTCACCGCCGTTGCCACCGCCGYGGTGGCCGCCGGGATCTGGTGCTGGCCGAGCCTGACGACGACCGCCGGGACGCTCGCCCTGGAGGTCTTTCGGTCGACCACCGGCAGGGCCGGAAAGCAGGGCAACCACAACACGAACAAGAATAACAACAACAACAACAACAACAAGCAGGCACTCGGTGTCGCGGGGGCCTTTGCCAGATGGCTCGAGGAAGAAGAAGAGGAGGAAGACGAACGGAAAAGGGCCCGGGAGGGAATTTCCCACTGCTCGGATGCCCGCGGCGGCGATGGCTCTCTCACCGACGCGGATTGGATGGGGGAGACGATCGGGAAAGCCCTTTTGGCCCTCGGCCCCGAGCCATCGCCGCCGCCGATCCCCACCGCTTGCTCGTCCTCCCCGCCGCCCAGCCCCCTCCRCCGMCCGAGGCCGGTGGCCCCGATCCCGGAAGGGAACGAACCGAATCCCCCCTGGGGGAAGGACCCCTCCCGGTCCCTTCGCAGCCTGCGCAATGCGGTGGAAGCGATGGTGGCCAGGGAGCCGTCCGTGAGGGAAAACTTTTTTGGCGGGGCCCGGGAAACCCTTGCGCTGCCGGTTTTGGCCACCCCGAGGTCCTACTCCTCCGACGAGCTCGAGGACCTSATCCACCAGAGAACCCGGGGCCGGTCCATCTCCGTGTCGTCGTCGGCCTCCTCGGTTTCGCTGCTGTCCTCCTCATCCTCCTGCTCCTCCTCCTCCTGGACCGACGATTCTTTGGTCGAGGACGAGCGCSAGGTAGAGCGGCTGCTGGCCTACCTCAAGCTGGTGCAGCTGGCGAGGGACGAGGCCAAGCACGCAGCGGGAGAACCCGCCGCGAGYCATACCACAAGCCGCAMCGGGAAGCGCCGAAAGGCCCGACGKTCGATCCCGGACGCGGACGGCGTCCTGGAGGTCCGCTCCTCCTCTCCCATCGCGGCAAGAAGCCCCTTTTTCCTGGAGGCCCTGCACCGCGGCCGGAAGGAGCTCGTGGTGGCGGTCCACCACGGACCGGCCTCCGCCGARGAGCGGGACCGGATCCGCGGMCTCCTCGCGGGGATCGGGGACCGCGGCCTTGCCCCCTTGGACCGGGGCCTGGCCGACCKCCTGGCGGGGGACCTTCTGGAAACCTTCCCCGGAYCGACCGGGGGACACACCCTCGTCCTCTGCGGCCACTCGCTGGGCGCCGCCCTGGCCTGCCGGGTGGGGGCCGCCGTGAGGGCCGCCCGCCCGGGCCTCTCGGTCCGGGTCTACGCCTTTGGGCTTCCCCCCTGCGGGGAAGCGCCGGRCCCAACCGGGGACCACTCCTGGGTCACCTGCGTGGTCAACAACCACGACTGCGTCCCCCGGTGGACCAGGGAGAACCTCTCGGCCCTCGGGGGCCTCCTGCGGTGGAACATGCACCGCAAGTTCCTCCACTTTCGGAGGCACTACCACTACCACTCCTGCCCGGGATACGGCTGCGCCRATGACCACRSGGGGAGGMSGGCCCCGGCCGCGATCCCCCGGTTTGCCCTCTCGCCCGGGGAGTGGGCGGCCTTTTGGAGGGGCCGTGGGGGGGCCGRCGAGAAGGTCCGGTCGTTCGGGGGGGAGCCGACCGGCCCCGCTTGCATCGTTCCGGGAAGGGTGGTGTGCGTGTGGAACCACTCGAATGATCCCTCCATCCTCGGCGCCAAGGTCCACCAGCCCRCCGGCACCGGCCCGCAGGCTTCCTCCRCGGCACAAACACAKGCACAAACRCARGCACAAACACAKGCACAAACCTACGGYGTCCTGGACCGGTTGTGGATCGACGAAAGCATGTTTCGGGACCACACCCTCGAGGCCTACCGGTCGAACCTCGAGCTGCTGCTGGGGCAGGTGGCCAACACAATCTAGATGACTGGTTCGTTCGTTAATCTCAAAGACCAGAACGGATTCGGAAACGGCAATAGATACAAACGCGAATCTCTCTCTGTACATACGAAAAACTTGAAAGATTGCAATACTGTAACAATATAGTGGATTTTATACAACGATACAATAGCGGATCGATTTGCTATTTGCTCATTCACCAGGGAAATGGTTTCGTTCGAAGTGGGAGCAAATCTATTATCAATCCTTGTAGCAATGGGCAAAGAGGGAAAGTATAGTAATACAGTTCTTGCTAGAATTATGAGATTCGAAACATGTTTTAATGCCGCTCAAGGCTTCTTTGTGAAAGGAACAACCACTATAGCAAMGTATTCGGCCGCCGGCCCTTWTAAGTCAGGGGGACAAGCACCGTGCCAAGCTACGCCGACACCAACCAATCGCGGCCCCCATGCAGGCTCACCACCTCGGCTTCGTCCCGGCGGCCGGTCTCCAGGGCCGTGGCCCCCGCCAGGGCCGTCGCGGCCTCGTAMACCCTCCGGATCGCCTCGGGGTCCTTGCGGCCGGACAGCCTCTGGTCTTCCTGCTCGTCGTAGACGGCGTCGCGGGAGGCCATCTTGAACTCCTTTCGCCGGGCGATGGCCTCCCTGGCGGTGGCGTCGCCGCAGGCGGCTTCCTCCCCGAGCGCCGCGGCCGCGTCGCGCTTGATGGCCTCGTATTCCTCGTCGCTGTACCAGGTCGACTCGATTTCGGAMTCGCTCATGAYCACCGTGGGAAAGGGGTCTGTCTCGATGCTCTCCCCCGGGCCGGGCGTGGCAAAGGACACMAGGGTTCTCTTTCTCTTGCTGCTCCTCCYGGCCGGAGTGCGTCGCGCCGGCACCGAGGAGTGCGGCCCGAGGTGSTTCTTGYACCGGATCGGATCCARTGTTTTTTTCACCCGGTGAAACAAGGTTTTCAGGGGTTTCTTTTTCGGTGCCGGCGACTGCTGGAGYTTCTTGTTGTTGTTAGTGGTRGTGGTGTCGCTCRTGCGCCRCTGGCTCTTGATATCTAGTYYGCAGAGCAGCCGGACGAGACCGCCTCCGTGATTTTGGAGCTGCGACCGACCTTCCTCCGGGAATTCGACTTTGGAAYCTGATGCCTCGCTAATTTCTTCATTTTTCTCCCGGTACGATTGACACTCCAACGGTTCTTCTTCCGGTAGGTAATCGTGTTCATCGCCGGCATCGGCAGAGTCGTTATACGTCTCATCGTAGTCTAGTGGCTGGGTTCGCTCGCTGTCGTTCCTGYTTCCATCTATTTTCCCTCCGTTTAGGAAGATATCCGACAAAGACGAAAGCGACGTAGATGATATCTGCAACTCGATGCGTTTGGCATTGAGTATTCCACCGTGTTGGAATGACGAGACGCCGGTGTTCATGGTTGGCTTCCARTATGCTGCTCCGTCGTTCTAGCGGTTTTTATGGGCACCAGTGAAGGTGTGTTTACGTGCATGTATTTGTATGTGTCTGTGGTACCAAGAAAAAAAGGTTAACAATTGTGCTAATCGTAGTTTTGTTTTATTCACATAGATTYATCACGAATAGAAGAATGAAAGTATGAAGAAAAAGGGACGTACCGGTAGGAATTAACTGGGCCCGATAGAATGCTTKCAAAATTCACGTTAACTTCAATACCGAATTCACGTGTTTACTGTGCCGTCGTGGGGAAGTTTGTTGAAATTTAATCTKCGAACGAGGAAAAAGAGAGGAGCAATTCTACCGTGTTACACGACGTAGATGACGTTAACAGTATCTGACGGGGCATCCGTTGSGAAAAACTCTTACTTTCTAGCAAAGGAATCTCATGGGCCATACTGGAACAATATTACTCTAAAGAAGGAAGTCGTCGGAAAACACCACATTACGTTGCCTTCTTTCATTAATTAAGTTTAAGTGTCAATATGACAATTATGTCTTCAAGGATTTATGGGATGTAGAATCGAGCTTTCTCTCTTATTGTTCTGTAGAATCTTCTACGACYAAGCTACCCTCGTGTCTTCATCTAAAAATTAATGACATTTTTTTCGTCAAATTTAAAGTAACACCTTCGTTTTGATGTTCAAAAAAATAAAACTAAACCTCATTCAATTCAAGGAAAAAAATATGAAGGACCCATGATTTTCGCGCTTTCAAATATTCCCGTACAAGAGGAAAATAGGGAATCAATTCTTTCGGATTCTTTTCAAGACGGGAGTGCTCCGACTTCCATTACCATAAATGGTACCAGATTCTGGTAACTCTTCTGGTAATGGTTGGTGTGGTAAACACTT